ACTCGAACAATTCAAACAATTGCATTCGGTGTAATACAGTCAAACCTGTCTATAAAGGACAGTCAGTGGACTGAGCCAAACTGTCCTTTATAGACAGGTGGTCTTTATATGGAGGTGGCCTAATTTATTCATTCAATCATGAATATTAATTAGGGCGGGAATTTTAAGGGAGATCATAAGCAAAACATAAAAACAAACCACACATTGTACATTGTATATTGAAGCATGGTGTCGCCATTACCTGCTTTTGCCAGTCCTAAAATCTGTTTGTTGATTACTTTTATTAAATCTTCACTCAACTCTTCATTCCTGTAATATTCGTCTGGGTCCGAGAAAAAGAAAACACGATTTATTTCAATGTGACGTTGACGTTGACACCAACAAGGACACAGAAAACGATGTAACTGGGCATTATTTTGTGCGAAATACACCTTCTTTTTATTATTGTACAACTGTTTTCTAAAAACAAAAATCTAATCAGGAGTGGTCAACAGAAATAATGAAAAAATAGTTCTAATCAATTTTAATAAATGTGATCGGAACGAGGTAGTTTCTTACTGTGTGTTGAGTCGATGATCGTCATCGGACCTGGTACGGTGTACTTCACGGGAACACGTGACATATCCTGGTGATAAAAGGGGTTACTATTGGTTAACAATGCGGAATGTATCGGACAGATCAAAAACCTCCACGCCTTTTTAATAGCATGTATGTGCAAACAAGTTTTCGGGAATTTTTATTAATATTAACACAATTTAATAATGCAGGTAATTGAAAATTAAAAAAAATAAAGTTAGAATAAAGTCTGGAATATATTCAAATCAGGCATTCCGATGAACACGAAATTAGAAATTAAGGTTGCTTGTTAACCAAGAATAATTCAGCACGAAGCGTCCTGCTTTTGTTGTTGATTCAACAAATACACAATTAAACTGTTTGAATTTGAAAACTACTGTTCAGATATCACATACAGCCGTACCTGGGATAGTCTCCATTCTTTGGCAACCCAATCGTCTTCACTGCATTGTCCTGGTGAGAGGAAACACATTTTGGATGTGAGTAACGAGTTGTTGTACACAACGACGCGAATAGCCGTGTCCGCGTGTTGTAGTTTACAACTTCGTTGCTCGGCATTAAAATGGGCGTGGAAAATTACGTTTTCGTGTCCCATGAGATAGGTACATTCTGGATTCGCCCATTCGTTCAGTAGTATTATGTGTAGTTCAAAGCATCGTGTCACATCATGGGGAGTGGTCAATAACAATAGTTAGCCGCGTGTACGTCCCGTTCTAACCCAGCAATTGTGCGTTAAAGTGATGATGATCCCTGTATGTGATACGCAATATAATAATACGTACCAATTTTACCAATAATTCGAGGCATATGAATTTCGCACGCCCCATTGCGGATGGGTTTCACAACTGGATTCTTGAAATCAAATCCATTGACGTGTCGACTGTTGGAAAATGCAGATAAACAATTATTTTGTTTATTATGCGAGAGCAACGCCTCAGCAAACTCCGTTACGTGACCCCATCACCATACATGTTTACATAAGACGTCATTTTTCAGATTAAAGTGAACGATGAGATCTATGTGAGACATGATTAAGCTTACCAGAAATAATATACGTAATTATCTCTTCTCATTTCGCCGTCGGAGATTACGTCAATACCCATTTCGATTTGCTCCTTTATCACATCTTTCGTTGCTTTCTTCACCAGTTTTTCCAATTCTGAAAATTTGCGGAAATAACTAATGTGTTTGTTAGGACACCAGTGATTAGCATAATGTTATAATCTTTTATTATTTTCATAATAAATTCATGTACAAATTGCAAATCTGTTTAACTCTGCAGATGAAGCCAATTTCACACAATCATCTAAAAAATAACAATCATAACCAAATTTGTGTTGAGATTGTCGCAATTCTGTGTAGGTATTTCGATTTGTCGGCAGTGTAATTGTTTTACGGTTGAAATTAATGGATAATGAATAAACATCAGTTTCGAAAGTGCCAGTTTTTATTTCGTGATATCAAAGACGTCATGTTATTGAGTGGACGGTTGAAGCTTATCTGTGCACTTGTATCTAAAATGATGTTTCTGGTGAAAGCTAGTTACGTCACTAACACAACGAATGACAATTTGTTACGCCATGACTGGTCTTCAAATATAATCGTTATGCGTAGCTGATATATTTTCTCACGTGGCGGCCAGGGTGTGTGCGCGCGTTGACGAAATTCATATCTGTAAAATCTTCTTGCAAAATGAATTACATGTAAATAGTATTTACTCGCAGCGCATCAAGGGCATTCCTTATCTTAGCCAATCAACGAGTACAATGCGCAACGTCGTCATTTAAAACGTTCTAGTATTATCCGATCGGCCAATAGAAATCTCTCGTTTCAGTTTAATATAAATATTTGTCTTCGACCCAAGGTAGATTGCGCAGCATGTCTACATCTATGTACAGTACACCCAATACGTAGTTGTTGAAAGAAATAAAGTGAAAATATGATGCAGAACAAGAAAAACAGACAGTCAACAGTTGTTTAATGTTAAAGCGAAAGAGTCGTCACCTGCGCATGCGTTAGATGGCCATAGCGTGTCATTGTTTACAAACGAGCTCGATTCCCGCGCGTGCGCAGGTGATGACCCTCCCACTTTAACGTGATATAGCAAGTCCATAGAATAAAGCGGAAAACACAATAAGTTGAGCATAAAGTTTAGTGGAATAGTGCTGCTGAATATTATTAAGACGCGATGTAATTCTATTTGCACATGCATAACCCACCTAGCAACGGGCGAGTTTAAGACAAAAAAGAGTCAAGAACACCGGTAGACATGCAACCCAGAAGAAGTCGGCGGCAAATTTGAAACAGTGTTTTTAAAGATAACGGATTGAGTGTGGGTGGGTACAAACGAGGGTAGCTAGAAGCACTTTTTAAGACAGCTGAGAAACGTGGATTTCCATCTGAAAAAGATGATTTTTCAGAGAAAATGGACTGAAATAGAGATAGTACGTTATGTTTCGTAGAGTAAATATGATTGTGACAACTCCCAAAATACCGTACCCCATAAAATATGAAAATCTTACGCTATCCTCGGCAGCGGAGCTACGTCACAAGAAGTTCCACGTTGCTAAGACGCACACCACTGCACCGCGTATTTCTACGGACTCTGCGCGCGCTGCTGAGGAACGCGGAACGCCAAGAGAAGAGCCGGTGAAAATTCGAGAAAACAACAGGAAATTAACTTTGAAGTAATACTGAACAATCAAATTTATATGTGTTACACACGCAGAGGTAATTTTGTTACACTGTTCATGGGAGTCTCAACAACCATCCCAAAGTACCGTTTTCTGAGAGTTTTCGGCCTTTGTTTTCACCGTGTTGGTTGCCATGCGGTGAAAATGCCCGGATGTCCGCCCCCAGGATAGCCAGAGATAATGTGCATGCTCGTTATCCGCTTAGCAGAATAGTGTGCAAATTTTCAGAGCCTGGTACGAGTTTGTTGAAAGATGATGGCAGGTATATTTGAAGGGAATTTTCACTTTGCGAGTTCGGTGCACTGCAACTCAGCGCATTTGGAACATTCAAAATATGTCCTACCTTCCGGTTTGTTGACCCCAGGTCACGCAATATATGAAAGCGCACGAACGATGAACGCGCAAACGCTATCAATTTGGGAACCGGGAATTCTGAACATAAATGCGATTTTACCGACACAGTCACGTGATATACTACCACGTCACCGCTATCTGATATGTTTTGTTTTCGTAAACGAACATTATGCACATCTTCATTGAGATAAAAACGTACAACAATGCACAATGGCAGTATCATCACAATTTACACTTTTTCTCTGATCAGTTGATATCATGTACGTATAAGATGCACATTGGTCACTCTCTTATACTATTATCCACATGTCAATAAGAATCATAATATCCTACCATCACTAGGCATCTTCCTGCAGTATTCGGAGTAATGAGCTGGGCTTAAGTCGAAATTAGGCTTGAACCAAGTTGGTATTTCTAGATAGTCTGGTTTCGGGTAGCAGCCGATCACAGTGGTACGGAGCGGCATCGTGTTGACCACAACACTCGTTGTTTTACCGTAATATAATTCAGTTCGCTGTGGGAGATTAATATGATTATCCAGGAATAACTCAAATTATTTGTGGCAGATTGAGGAAATGCTGGTACTCGACTATTCTATTTTGAAATCAATCAGTATCACAACTTGAATCACTGGTAAGGTTGTATCAACACAAATTCAAAGGGCGTGTCAACCGACTCGGACGCGTCCCACGCAATGGACACAAGTTGTTTCATATAAGGTCTGGGCACGTACGCAATTTTTGTTTCCACGCTTTTGCAGTGTTGTTTGGAATCAACAAATTGCATGTTTAGGGTAGACAATATAAATATATTACATGAATGTTATAAATATATTCGAATTCGAATCTAATAATAATTCGAACCTAATAACATCAAGGAAAATGAGACGCGTTTGGGGACTAATATAACGGGGGGCAAGCTGGTACAGGTTACAGGAAATAAAAAATGCATTTTACGTTTGTACAGGAAATAAAATGGAATGTTCCATTTACAGTAAAAAATAAGTGTTTACACTATACAGATAAAGCAAATTACTAATTACAAATTTCATAATATTTTTGATAATTTGTGTTTAGGAATCAAAATTGGAAATTGTGTACGAATTACGACATTTGATTTTGAAAATGCTTAATAATAATATCTTTGTACAAATTACGGACGAATTAAATAGCTGATTACATTTTACACCTTGCCCATGTCTACGAATTTACGTTTTTTATTTATTTAAATTATATTATTACGAAAATAAAAATAATTCATTACAGCTTACGAAAATACCTTTTACCCAAATAACACCGATGACAAGAAGTTGACAAGCTCCAGAAAACCTCAAGAAAGATGAATATCAACACGCTGCAGGAAACTGAATCAAGTATATCCATGAGAATCACAAGAAAGTACTTTCAACCGACGCCCCGGCATTGTTAAG